AAGGGGTAAAAGAGAGGCATATAAGATTTTTCAATTTTTTAATGTGTGGTGTGTGCAAGGATAGTTTAAATTGATGCTCTTGATAAGGATCATTTATGCTAGTGTGTGATGTTCATGCCTTGAATGGTGTATTGTTTATTTTGTCTGACTACCATTGTGCGGCAGTGCCACGCTCACTCGCGGAAGTGTCGCACATGACAGTTGTAGAAACTTCTTGAGTGTATGAACTATCATGAGCATCACGTTTATCATGATGACACCTTGCATCCTACAGATGCTAAGATATAGGAGAGTTCCCACACTTCATCTTGAATATATGCATTTGGCATTTGAGGCCAAAATTTGAAATTCCATTCTATGCACACATTTAGGGAGAGCTCACTATATCATAGGATTCAAAATCCTACTATTTTTCAATCTCTTGTAAGCTTTAATTATGTTGTCATCAGTCACCAAAAAGGGGAGATTGTAAGTGCATCTAGCCCTTTAGTGGGTTTTGGTGAAATGAATGACGACACCATTAAAGGTCTAACAAGTTTGCTAAGTGTTGAACAGGAAATTAAGTTTATTGCATACACTTGTCGATTGTGGAATGAGAAAGGTATATAGATTCAACAAGAAGGCAAACTTGATGATGTTTCACATAATGTTCAAACAAAGGCTAAAATTATGTATTGTTGTGTTGGAAGATCATAGAAACAATATTGTTCAAGAGAAAGACAACAATGCAAATGGAGTTGTTGAAATAGCTTCTATGTCGTGGGATATCATAGTATCATGAGAAAGCAAGCATATTTGGCAAATGGTAAATAAGACATGAGTTGATGATTTTGGATTGGTCTCAATAATGGCTTGCTTTGCATGAACAAGAAGAGTTGGATAGTAAATTAGCTTTGATCAAGGATTGAAGAATAAGTCAAGAATGCATAAGTGAAGAAATACCAAGTAAAGATTAAATGGCAAAGGACACAACTCATATTGGATATAAGTTGGTCTCTATGTTGGTTTGCTTGTATGGATAAAGATTTGAAAAATCACTTTGCATTGATTTGATCAATCTAGAAGTATGAAGATAGAGATTGAAGTGAGTGTTAGAAATGTCATGCCAAAATGAAGAGGATATAAGGAATCGTGAATTGGCTTGACCACATTGATGTTGATCCATATATGTCTCTATGTGAGTCTAACTAAAGTTTGATTGATCTGAACTTTCATATCTAGAAGAATATTCAAGTAAGGATCACAATATTGAAGAAATGGTTTTTCAATGGATGCTTAGCATAATGTGACTTGAGTATGGCTTGATAAGGTGAAGATAGCAAGGAAAGGGCTTCGAGGGATTCAGCGGAGGTGAAGGGCAAGCGATGGCCTGAGGACTAAGGTAGCATAGCTAAGGTGAAGAAGAGAGTACTTGCATTGAGTCGAGGAACTAATCAAGCTATGTGGAGTCATATTATGTTAAGGATCAAATCATTAGTGAAAATGACTTGAAGCAATAGATTGAACTCACATGTGTTGGAAAGATTCAAGTCACAAGATCAACATGTGTTTGCTCGAAGAGACGAGACAGATAATTGCAAACCTTATGAAGTAATATTGAGAAAGAGGATAATACATGCGATGGTGGAAACTCCCAATTATAAAAGGATGAAGTGACCAATTCAAAGGTGTTTAAATTCTTTGATATTTTGAATTTGAGTTTAGGAAAAGCCATACTATAAAGGGGGATACAATGCACACGGTTTAATGTGCAACCAAGTGCTCATTTACCCACCAAATTTTCTTAAAGCCTTAGCCAAGACAGCAAGCTTTGCAATCCTATCTTTTGTGCTGCCTGGCAGGTGAGGCACTGCCGCGCTGAGGCAAGGCACTGCCGTACTAAGGCACTGCTGCAGTGAGGCACTACCATAGTTTAGCCGTGGCACTGCCGCGACTTAACTGACCATTTGGAGCAGGGGAAATTTATACCTTCTCTTCTTCCTCACAACGGTAACCTAGTTTTCAGATCGACCATTCCCTTCCAAAGTGCTTCCATTGCAAATCATTGGAGCCCCTCAAGCTTCTTTTGCTTCCCTTGCAAATCCATGAGAGTTTGAGCGTCCAAACTGCATTAGAGAGCAGCCCCAACTGTTCTTCATCTCCTAGAGCACTTGGTTCGCGTTCAAGCCGGTGGATTGTGTTTGTTACTCTTGGAGCTTGCTCCTAGCCGGTTAGAGCATCGCCCATGGAGCTTGCCAACTTGTGTGGCAGCCACAGGAGGTTTGTAATCACTCCAATCATCTAGTGAAATCACTCCTCATCTCAAGAGTTCATTCTCTTAACTTGAGAACGAGGATAAGGTTGAAAGAGATCAAAGCCTTTGTGGCTATCTCAACAATGTGGACATAGGCAAGCCTTAGTGGCGAGCTGAACCACGGGATATATTGGTGTCTCACTTGTGTTCTTGTGATTTGCATTGCTATACTTGTATTTGATGTGATTCTAGGGTTTGATCCCGATCTACTTGCTCGTGCACTTCCGTCAATATCCAGGTGGTGGAATAGGCTCTACGCTACCCCAGAAATATCAGTAATTTGTTCGATCTACTTTTCCTTGGGCAGTTTTTGAATTATAGTTCGAGTTTATCTACAGGCGTAGCAGTGCTGCATTTTTAGTGCGGCAGTGCTGCACCTTGGGAGCAGCAGTGCCACACTTAGAATTTAACTGCCGCTGCAAGTTTGTTTTAAACATGCCTATTCACTCCTCCCTTTAGGCGACATGAAGGTCCTTTCAATATTTGACACTTTGATAGATCAGCGCCGGCGAGACTACTGCGACAGACAGACACAGACTCGGGAGTGTTATTCATATTCATAGTCAAGTTATCAAGTGGAACTGTGGAAGGAAGGGAAATGGGCTGGAATGGCCCATGGACTTTTAGTTCGCCTCGTATCCAAACTGGTGGTTTATAATCAGAACATGCTACACTCAAGCTTTGGCTCCACCAAAAATTTGTCCTACAAAAATAGCATTGGACTTTTCACTATCTCTTGCACAAAAAATGAATTGCCAGCATGCCTAGCCATCTACGGCACGCCACAAGTCTGGTGATAAAGTAAACACCGGGTAACTTTAGGCAATTCGTGTTGTGGGCCTTGTGGCGTTATGGTCATCAACCAAACACATCCTATGTGTACTGTCCTTGCAACCATTGTTCACCTTCATCAGCGTGCAACTAGTCATATGTTTAAGTAATCTCCATTCAAGTAAGGGTGTATTTGGTAAAGCACTGACTTTAGCTAAAATTGCTCTGGTTCCACCTCAAGCTCCTTTGGTGGAGCAGTTTTCTTTGGCTTAGAACAACTTTTATAGAAGAACGTTTGGTAAAACATATAAAATATCCATAATTTTTTTTCATTTTTCATTTTATTTCTTTATTATTTTCTCCTTTAATAATTTGAGCTTATTTTTAGAAATTCTTTTCTTCTCTCATTTATCCTCTTCCTCTCCCTTTCCCATCTCTCTCACCCACCTTCACCTACCTCGTCTGCGGCTCATTCGCCACCGCCCCTGCCTCCTGCATGTCTTGTCCCACTACTGTCTATCCACATCTCTGCCCTGACCTTAACTCTAGACAGTTCTTCTAGTCTAGAAGAATGTTTGGTAAAATAACTTCTCCTGGTAAAGAAAAAATCATAAAATATCTATAATACCCTTCTTTTGTTTTATTTTCTCTTTTCTTCCTTTATTTATTTCTCCGTTAACAAAATGAACTTGTTTTTTTAAAACAATTTCTCCTTCCCTTTATCCTCCTCCTCTCTTTCCCATCTCTCTCACCCACCTTCACTTGCCTCATCCACAGCTCGTTTGCCGTCACCCCTCATCCAGCTACCCTACCCACCTTGTTCCACTGCCGCCCGCCCGCCCGCATGTGCGGCCATGGTTGCTGCCGCCCACGCATGACCACGAAGGAGGGCATTTTAGGGTGGGCCCACAAGCACGGAGGTTGGAGATAGATGTGAAGTTTCAGATCCTCTTTATGCATGTGGATGCAGTCGCTGATTTAGGGAGCTCCACAACTGAAGCTGTTTTTCCACAAACTGTTTGGTTGGTGAGCTCAGCTGGAGCTGTAAGAAACACAGTCTAACTTTTTTTTGAAAGAACGACAAAAGTTTTGCCGTAATTTTTATTAGACGGGAAAAAACAAAACAAGGTGGTTAGTACAAAACAGCTACTCAACTAAGCGCTTCAGCCGGGGTCGAAAGAAATACCAAAACAAAATAAAAACGCCGAAACCACTCAACCAAAACAGAAACCGACTGAAGCGCAAACCACTAACACCTAGCAGGCACACAACAGCCCCAACCGAGGCAAAAGAGACTGATAAACAACCCAACTATCTCGTGGACGTTCTAGGAAGCATTGCCATCTTGTATGAAACGCAGTCTAACTTGGCTAGATGGGTAAGACTAATTTAATCTTGCTCTAGGTTCCGCGAACATGAGAAAAAGAATTGACCAATTGCCCTAGATGCATCTCATATCAACAGCCTTGATCAGCAGCAACCACGCAAACCATTAATTCCCTGTCACCATAGGCTGGCTCGATGCAACTCCGTTGACGTGCATTGCACGGTGGTCGAGCTTAAGCTGACTTCGGAATCCTCAGCAGCACGTGGATGGCCACTCTCGGGACGAACCCTCCACCTCCAGTTTGCATCTCCAGACAGCCGGCCAGTCTTGGCCAGACCAGATACTGGTAAACAACCCTCATTTGGTAATCCAATGTGTGTGTGAGAGAGAGATAGATTCACTCGAGATCCCCGTCCTTTACAAGTTGATCGGTGACAGTGAGCCGCTTGCCGACCACGGCCACCTGGTGCGGCAACTCGCGCGCTGAGCCCAACGCAAACGCATGGCTTATCATGCATGCCTTTGAGTTCATTCCAGATCGCCAGGCACAAGCCACTCCGACGAGCCGTGCCCACGTACCGCCGCCGCAGCCAACCCGCATCAGCAATAATGGTCAAACCCAGCGCCGTCTCCCGGCCTTGCTTCCTCCTCGTCACCGCGGCAGCGTTGTGGGCCTTGACACTCTACCTGCGCCTGCTCGCCCTCATAAGCGTGCCCGTCGCGTTCACGGGGCGCGTCGCGTCTTTCGTCCCGGCGGACGACATGACGAACGCCAGCGGCGCCGGCGGCGATCCCTGCCGCGGCCGGTACGTCTACGTCCACGACCTCCCGCCGCGGTTCAACGCCGACATTGTCCGCGGCTGCGCGGCGGCCAACGACTGGTGGCAGGGCATGTGCGAGGACGTGCGCAACGCCGGCCTGGGGAGACCTCTCTCCGGCGGCGCGCTCACGGGCGCGACCGGGTGGTACGCCACGCACCAGTTCGCGCTGGACGCCATCTTCCACGGGCGGATGCGGCAGTACGGTTGCCTCACCAACGACTCGTCCGCGGCGGCCGCCGTGTTCGTCCCGTTCTACGCCGGCTTCGAGTTCGCCAGGCACATCTGGGGATACGACAGTGCGGCCAGGGACGCCGCCTCGCAGGACCTGGTGCGCTGGCTCGTGCGGCGGCCCGAGTGGCGCAGGGCCGGCGGCCACGACCACTTCCTCGTGGCGGGGCGGACGGGGTGGGACTTCCGCCGTGATGACCGCAACTCCACCTGGGGCACGAGTCTTTTCCTGCTCCCGGCCGTCAAGAACATGAGCTTCCTCGTCGTGGAGACGGCCACCATGGGCTGGGGCAACGACCTGGCCGTGCCTTACCCGACCTACTTCCACCCACGCACGGACTCCGACGTCCTGAGCTGGCAGAAGAGGATCCGGAGCTCCGATCGCTGGTGGTTCATGTCCTTCGTGGGCGCGGCGCGGCCGAGCGACCCGCGGTCGATCCGGTCGCAGGTGATGGCGCAGTGCGGCGCGTCGCCCGCGTGCCGGCAGCTGGGGTGCGCCTTCGGGAGCGCCCAGTGCCACTACCCGGGCGACATCATGGTGCTGTTCCAGAGCTCCACCTTCTGCCTCCAGCCGCCGGGGGACTCAGCGTCGCGGCGCTCGACGTTCGACGCCATGGTCGCGGGCTGCATCCCGGTGTTCTTCCAGCCGCGGTCGGCGTACCTCCAGTACAGGTGGCACCTGCCGAGGGACCACGCCACGTACTCGGTGTTCATACCGGCGGAGGACGTGCGCTCGGGGAATGTGAGCGTCGAGGCGGAGCTGAGGAAGATACCGCCGGCAGCGATAGAGAAGATGAGGAAGGAGGTCATCAAGCTCGTGCCAAGGCTGGTCTACGCTGACCCGAGGTACAAGCTGGAGACGGTGAAGGATGCGTTCGACGTCGCCGTGGATGGCGTCTTGGAGAGGATGGCGGAAACAGAGGAGAGCCAAACAGGGTCCTACTGGCGGTGATTGAACACCAGTGGAGGCAACTGCCAACTGATAGATATCTGTTGAATGATTCTTGGGCAAGAAATCGTTCAAATTTCATATACTATATCTTATTAGGATTCTCTTGAAGGTGGTTTAGGGTCACGGATTGAGTAACAAGCTCCTGTCCTTATAAGGCAACCTAATTAAACAGGGCCTATTTAGTTTAGTGCTGGTGGGCGGCATACAGGAAGACGAAGAGAATAGGAGATGGGGATGTCAACGACCATGGTGCAAGACGACTCTCCAAGCCCCAATGAGCTTTGGTGAGAACTAGGGCCGGAGGAATAGGAACTACCGGGACAAAGGAGGAGAAGCCGGAAGCGGGATAGCGACATCTCACGATTCACCGGTCAAGGAGAAGGGACGGGACAGGGACATCTCACTGTCACTGATGGAAGGAAGAGAGGCACATGGAAAATGATTTTTAGAGGTGTATCTCTCTCTCTCTCTCTCTCTTTCATAGACAGTCGTATAAAAAGAAAGGGTCTTTAGAAATGGATTCAAAGATGGATTACACGTTTTGGACCTTATTTGGTACGGATTCTTAATGGATTCAGTTGTGACTTCTTTGGCTCTTTATAGATGAAGCCCAACCAATCACTGACTTAAGAAACTGCCCCTCCCCCTGCCTCGCCCGCTGCCGGAGCAGTTGGCCGGAAGTCCAGCACGCTGCAAGGAAGGTGGTGGCGGGGCTTCTTCTCGTCGAAGCCATAGCATCACACGAATGGAGTTCGGCACGTGCGGCTTGCAGATCTGGAGTTGGGCTGCCTGGGAGTCCGGATCCAGGACGGCAATGCCGTTTGGTGGCCAGACGCTCGTGGATCCCTTGCGGTGCTGGTCGGCGCGGTGCCTGCTGCTTCACCGGGGCTATGCTCGTGGTGGCCCTCTTCCCAGTGGGTGGTGTCCATGGCGCATTGGCCGGCGGCGGCTTGCTCTAGCGTTCCACCACCGCTCTGGAGTCTCTTTCGCCGGATCCGTCGGCCCTGCTGCTGGATCTGGCGGGTCATGGTGGTCGGCCCTCTCAGGCCGTCTCGGTTGGCGCAGTGGCTAGGGGCTGCGTGCGCAGTTCCACGGTAGGCTAGAAGCGGGCGTGCAGATGGCTGTAGTTCGGAGGCTGGCACTCCTGCGGTGGTAGCGGCGTGCGGCGCTAGAGTTCGGCTGGCACAGGCATCGGTGATGGCTTTGCAGTGGTTTTGGCTGTGTTGGTGCGGTTTGGTGGCGTGGTGGTGCGGCCAGGCGCCGTCAAACGTCGTGGTGATGTAGGCGGCTGCGCTGGTCATGCGGCATCGGTGCCATGGTGGCGTGGACGGCACTGACCTGCTCGTTTTTTCGCGGCTGCCGTGCCATGGCAGTGAGGCGGGCGTCGATCGAGCAGGCCACACCAGGCTCGCCCAGTTCAGCGACAACGATGGCGTGTGTGGCATGACAGAGTGGGTGGCTTGGGGGGAACGAGATCCCCTGCAGTCGGCTTCATCGACTGCAGTCTGCAGTCGGCGTATCTGTGCCGTTGGCTGCCATCCGAAGTACCATATTAGCCAGTTACAACACAGGCAGTCGCTGGCGTCTTGTGTATCTTGCTCGGTCACTCGTTCGTTCACCACGGCTGTTGTCACGCGTCCCCGAGCTAAATCCCTCATGCGAGCCCATGAATCTAGCTTCCTCCCCTTCATGTTGCCTTGGCGCTCATACGCTGTCGTAGCCGCAGCCTCGCAGGGGCGCTCCTCGCGTAGCCTGCTGGTCTTGTGGATGTCGGCAGCGCGCCTGCCCTCCGTGCCATGTTCGGTCCCTGCTCAGTGATGAGATACGCACACCTCCAAGTGCAGTCCTTGATGATCGAGCTCCAGGTGGCTGTGCAGGAAAGCTGCATATGTGGTGAAATCTGTTTGTGCAGGAAAGCTGCACTTCCTTTGATGGTTGTTTGTATAGGAAATTAGACAGGAAGCACAAGTGCTTGGAATTTGTTCAAATTGTTTCTTCCTGAAACTACACAAAAATGTGAAGCATTCATATGAGTTGTGCAAGATGAATAACTAAAACTTCAATCCTATATGCTCTGTTCTTCCTGAAACTAGCTTGTGACTCCAATTCTACTCCAATTCCTGCACAGACAGAACCACGGGTTTGTGACAATGAGCTGCATGACGACGAGGACAGCAACGGCGTAATGCCGGCCCCGCATTGGCCACCACACTCGTCGCACGCTTCACCTAGGTTGGAGGCTGGATTGTTTATCGTCGTTGCCGCTGCTCGTCTCTGGCTTGTCACCATCTCGGCACCACCGCCGAAGGCTGACGATAGGAAGGTGGTGCCGGTCGACGAGGCCGAGCTAGAGGAGAAGCCTGTACTGGCACTCAGAATTTGGAAGACGGCTAAATTATCCTTCCTGAATCTCTCTTTGCAGTGACCACCGGGCTCAAGAAAATCGCCGCTCAAGGCTTACCCTCATGCCAGAAACCGAAGACTCGAAGAGCATGCGGACCTCGCGCCAAAAACGCCAGCAACAACGCTATGCTTGTTGGCCCAAGGCCCAGTGCTTCGACGACTCAGGCACAAAAGAAGCCTGGTGGGAGCCGGTTGCCGTTGGATCTCAGTGAATGGTCGGATGCCGGCCTGACTGTAGAGAGCTGTCACTGCCATGACTGCAGAGGATCTCGTTTCGCTTGGGGACGGCGGAGGTTGCTGGAGGCTGTGCGCGGCTTGGTTGATGCAGGGCAGGCTCGACAGGGGTTGGGTTGTTGGTGGGCTGGACGTCTTGGGCTTCTTTTGATCCCGGGCCTTTTCTCCCTACCATCCGCCTTCCCCCTTCCTCGGATTGTGGCTCCTGCGGCGGAGCTTTGCTGGTTCTGGCGGAGGGCGAACACTTCGGCAGGTTTCTCCCGATGGTTCTCTCGGCCGATGCCTTTAGGGGCGGTGGTGGGGTGGGGCTGCTGTTGATCCATCACCGCACTCTACCTCCCCGGTAGGGTTCGGTCTCCAACGGCGATGGTGTTGGAGGTTGCTTGAGTTCAGGGCGAAAGCTTGGACGACAACGTTTGTGGATGCCGTTCCCTTTTTGGAGGCGTCCTTTCCTACCTCTCCTCCTACAGTACTGGATGTTGCAGATGGAAACCTTCCCATGGCGAGCTACCATGTCGGTGCTTTTAGCGTCGTTTCCTCCTTGGAGGCAAGGCTAGGCCTTCCAGTTCCGTAGTTCTCTTTCCGTCTAGGTTGTTTGGTGTCGCCCGGCTAGTCGTCGTGTTTTTTCTTCTATCCTTGTTTCTGTTAGTTGAGTTGTTTTAGTTGGGTCGTTTTCGACCAAGTTGAAGCAAGTAGTGGCTTGAGTTGTGATAATTGTCTGATCTGCTGTATCAAAGTGGTGTAGGATGAGTGGAACATTCTCCTCGGTTGTATGGTTTTGGGGACTAGTTTCCATTCAAAAAACTGGACGGGCACTTGCCTTTTTTCCTTTCTTCGTCTAATGAAAATCGCGGCAAAGCTTTTGCCGTCCTTTCAAAAAAAAAAGCCATCTTTACGTGTCTTCTCAAACTTCTTAGGGCAAGCCCATTGCAAAGAAGTCGTGTCCACACTTATAGCCTATTTGTTATTTATGAAAACAGGCGAGGTTACCTCCTACTAATTTTTTTATTAAAACAGAAAGTAAGGAGCTCAAGTTACAAGATCACGAAACAAAGAAAATCAAGAAAACTACACAAGAGAGTCTAACCATTGATCTATGTTTGATATTGCCCTTAGGATAGCTAGAGCAAACTCTTTCTTGAGCTTTAACTTTTAGGCTTTTAGTTTAAAAGCTGGCATTTTGATTTTTGGCTTACCGTTATTATCTTTTTGCTACTGACTTTTGTAATAAATTTTTAGCTTTTGAGCACACCAAGAGTCAGAAAAGCTCCTATTAGCGTGCTTTTTAACTTTCAATATATTTCCTCAAAAGTCAGTTGTTTTAGCTATTCAAAAACCAGCTCAATAGCTAGGTTGTTTGCTTCATCTTCTGGCTTCTAGTTGATAGAAGCTAGTAAAAAGCAATCCTTAGAGCATCTCCAAGAGACTCTCTATATCTATTCTAAATCCTAGGAATAGAGGTTTTGGTGAAAAACTATGCTCCAACAGCTTCTCTAAATGGTTATCCAAATATAGTCTTTTTCTATTTTGTTTTTTTGCTAGCCAAAAATAGAAGACGAAAATGACTCTCTAGAGTGTGGATGAGATAAAAAAATTGTTGGAGAGTGAAAGGGTATAGAAAGCGATTTTTATGCAAATGACTCTCCAAATAATGATTTAGAGAGTGAGATTTAGAAATGCTCTTGAGATGCTTTTAGAAATCAATTTTAAGGAGTAATTGGTGTTACCGATCACCTCTAAAAATGTCTCTATTTTCAAGGCTGGTGGATATAACTAACCGTCTATAGAAATATGTACTAATTTTAGAGGTGGTTAGTATTACAAAACCATCCTTGTAAATAGAGGCATTTCTAAGGGCCTCGGTAACACTAATTGTGGTTAGAAATCGATTTTCAACTGTGATTAGTAATGTGAATCGCGACTAGAAATAGATGGGGCACAAAAAATTCACAACTTTCAAATCATGCGGGTGTTTGAGCAGACAAATTAATTCAGCTAAGAATCTAACGCTCCTGGAGACTCCTCGAACTTGCATTTCTTTGTTTTTTTTAGCAAAAAGGTGAAAGCTGCCACTTACACTACTTTGGCCCATGGGCCATGGGTTTCATTCTCATATTGCTTTTATTTTGTAGCATGGGCCATTGGGCCATAATAGGCCACTACAGATTTGGTCTTCTCATTTTTTTGTTATGCTCGTAGAAGACACATAATGATCTAAGATTTAACAATATTCATTGTTCTATGAGAAGAGTACTTCACGAGTCTTATGCCATTGATAAATCCTATAGCTATGCCATTGAGACTTCGTTTGGATGGACTTTTATCCATCTCAATCCATATGAGTTGGGAGTAGATTAGAGTGAAACTTGGTTTAATTTTCACCCCCAATCCACACCAACACACATCAGTTAAGATGGATATGATTGTATCCAAACAAACTCTGAAGATAATGCACCTTCCCTTATTAGTCATATGAATTTATGCCTTAACCATCTCTCTTCTCCGAATCCTAGACCTACTTCTCCTGTGACAAATACTAGGGACCTAATAATTTTAGAAACCTCAAACATACACGTTCTCTGAGCCGTGAGATATCGCTCACATGCTAGTTGGATTAAGTTCCATCAATAGTTTTGAAGTGTCGTTTTCGAAAGATGACTCGTCAGATAAATATAGTGAAACATGGATGAAATCAGCACTCTTAATGCATAATTTTATTCAATTATTTCATAAATATTTAATTCCATGACTCATTAGAAACTGAACCAAGAGAGTTTCCTTAGACTCAAATTTTCTTCACTTCTTAATAAACCCATTGTCATGTCAAGAGAAATGCTTATCTGACAGGCCATGAAAAAGGGATAAAACTCTACTGACACTCAAGTGGAACTAAACAAAAATCCTACCTGATTGCCGTCGGAAGCATCTAATAGGAATCGGAGAAAAGAAAATGCACAGGCGGTACTGACAATAGATGACAAAATACATGGATTAGCCAATGAGCTGAGCTGATGAGCCTAAAGCAGCCATGCTGGTCAGCACTAACCACGCACGCCATTAACTCTCCATCTCCGATCCACATACTGCCGGGATGCATCTCGTTGACATGGCAGCTGGTGAGCTGACTTCGGATTACTCAACTCACTCGCACGTGAATGGCAAGCTCTCCGGCTTGCATCCCCAGGCAACCAGGCAGGCCTGCTGTCACGCAGCTTAATTAGCCTTGATTTAGTTGGTCCAACCGGAGATTACTGTACAGTGATTCACTAGAGATCCCCGCAGTTTCCGTGTCAGTGACAGCCACTGGCAGCGATTTGATTCGCCCGACGCAGTCGCTCGGCTTTTCATGCCCTCGCCCCGCGCGCGCTTCAAACAACAGCACCTCGGATCCCACGCGACGCGACGCGAGCCAGCCTCCGCAGCTCCACCCTGCCCGCAACCGGCCCCCCCGCCGTGCCACCTAGCTCGCTCGCTCGTCCTTGTCCCCGGGCGCACGTCTGCCGTGCGGCATGAAGCGGCACAACGTGGGCGAGTTGCCGCTGTCGTCGCCGGCGGGCGACGACAGGCGGCTGCTGGCGACGGAGGAGGCGGAGGACAAGATGGACAAGTACGACAAGGGGCGGGTCCGCTGTTCCCGTCTCTGCTTCCTCTTCGCGCTCGCCGCCACCGTATCCATCCTCGCGCGCCACTGCTACGACGCCGGCCTAGGCCGTGGCGATAGTGCCGGCGTGGTGCGCATCGAGGCCGTGCAACACGGCCTGCCGCCGTCGGTGCATCGAGAGAGGAAGATCGTTCCGATCGCTCGCAGCGGCGAGCCGTCGGAGTCCCGACATTCCACCTCGGCTCCGGTGGACGACGGTGATGACGCGTCGTCCAAGCCTTCGGCGTCACGGTCTGACGAGTCTGCCAATCGAGGCAAAACATCGTCCAAGCAGGGCTCGCCCTCGGGAACTCATGCTCATACCAAGCAGCGCGGCGGCCACCCCTTCGAGCGCGCGCTGGCCGCAGCCGACGACAAGGGCGACCTCTGCGGTGGTCAGTACATCTACGTGCACGAACTGCCGGCCCGCTTCAACAGGGACATGATCCAGAACTGCGACAAGCTGTCGCCGTGGACGGACATGTGCAGGTACACAACCAACGGCGGCTTTGGCCCGCTGCTCCGCGGCGGCAAGGGCGCGTTCCAGGGCAACGGCAACGGCTGGTACGACACCGACGAGCACGCGCTGGACATCGTCTTCCACGAGCGGATCAAGCGGTACGAGTGCCTCACCGACGACCCTTCCCTCGCGGCCGCCGTCTTCGTCCCGTTCTACGCCGGCCTCGACGTCGCGCGGCACCTCTGGGGTAACAACGTCTCCGCGAGGGACGACCTGGCGCTGGACCTGGTGAGCCTGCTCGCCAAGAGCCCCGAGTGGCGCGCCATGGGCGGCCGCGACCACTTCTTCGTGGCCGGCCGCACCACGTGGGACTTCCGGCGGAAGGATGACGCCCATGCTGAGTGGGGGAGCAGGCTGCTGAATCTCCCCGCAGCCAAGAACATGACCGCGCTCGTGGTGGAGGCCAGCCCGTGGCACCTCAACGACGTCGCCATTCCCTACCCGACCTCGTTCCACCCGGCGAGCGATGAGGACCTCTTCTTCTGGCAGGACCGGGTGCGCGCGCTGAACCGCTCGTACCTCTTCTCCTTCGCCGGCGTGCCGCGCCCCGGCGACGCCAAGTCCATCGAGGGCCACCTCGTCGACCAGTGCAAGGCGTCGGACTCCTGCTCTCTCTTGGAGTGTAGCACCACGGGTCCGGATAACAAGTGCGAGTCCCCGGCCAGCGTCATGAAGCTCTTCCAGAGCTCCACGTTCTGCCTCCTGCCGCGAGGAGCCACCGACACGCGCCGTCACGCCTTCGACGCCATGCTAGCCGGGTGCATCCCGGTGTTCTTCCACCCCGGCTCGGCGTACGTGCAGTACACCTGGCACCTGCCCAAGACCCACACCGACTACTCGGTGTACATCCCCGAGGATGACGTGCGCAAGAAGAACGAGAGCGTGGAGGAGAGGCTCCGGAAAATACCGCCTGAAACGGTCCGGGCAATGAGGGACGCCGTCGTCGGCCTCATCCCGTCAGTGACCTACGGCGACGCGACGTCCAGGCTTGAGACGACGGTGAAGGATGTGTTTGACATCGCGGTGGCCGCTGTCATCAACAAGGTGACGAAGCTGAGGAGGGGCATCGTGGAGGGTCGAGCCGAGGAGGAGAGGCTGGAGAGGTATAGCTGGAAGTACCCGTTGTTGGCAGAAGGGCAGAAGGCAGAGGACCATCATGAATGGGATCCCCTGTTCAATTAGCTCGTCATTGTTGCTCTGCGTGGCATTGTTTGATGAAGAATTTAGGGGTCGTTTGGAACGCGAGAATTTCCTTTTCCCGATTTCTGCTGGAATTGAGTTGTTTCTTCACGAAATTCCTGTCTTCCAAGCATTCTCTTATATTTTACTCGGTTGTAGAGTTCTATATTATCCATTAGTGAAATTTTAATAACGAGAGCCCTCCATTTCGTTAGATGTGATGGTATAAAAATAGGAGAAACCAAACGTAAGGAATTTAAATTGTGAACCGGAACCAAATAATATGTGGATTCGGAACTGGTTTCTAATTAAATTTAGAGGGTATATCAGTATATTTACGTCTCAGGAGTTGCTTCTCAGTCTTATCTTGAAGCTACTACTTATCCGAAAGTTCTCTCCCAGCCCCTTCTCTCGACACGCCGGCGGAGCGGCGGCCCCTTTCACTTGTCGTGGGCGGGCTCTAATGCGGGTGCTCCTTGGACGTGTGGAGGGCGCACGGGAGGTGACTGTGTCTGGTGCCACGCCGTTGGGGTGGAGCGTCGGGCAGGATCACCCTCGACGCTGCCGCGAGACGCGACTCCCGGTGCAGGGGCGCGCTCCGCGCCGCACTATGCCGGCATGCCGACGTCGAGAGCTTCGGCGGGGTGCGCCTGGTGCGGCACCGTCGAGGTTAAGCTGTGCAGGGCCGTTGACGTCACCTGCTGCGGCGCCGTCACCGGGGAGTGCTGCCGCGTCGTCAACGCCGCAGGGTGTGGCAGCGTCGAGGTGGCGTGGGCCGTGATCAACTTGGTGGAGGAAGAGCAGCCGTAGTCAACCTCTACTGTACTGTAATCGCGGAGCGGCTTAAGAGAGTTCAGCAGCTGTAAGTAGAAGTGGAGTACTGCTGCTGCTGTATCTTCTGTTGTAAACTGAAAAAGAATGCTTCTCTTTATTATAAATTGTTCTTCAGTAGGCTATGTGCTTCGCGATTTACCTGATTGATTTGAGTTCATTCTGGACGTGTCTTCAGCCGTTCTGCGTTGCCACGATAGTTTTAGTGGAATGAGGATCATTGCCGTTCTGAGATGCTGTTGGCCTGAATAGAGAATGGTTCAAGGTCATATGCAATGATTATGTCAATCCGCAGGCGGCGAGCTGGGAGGCTGCGACTCAGGGAGCAGAGAGATTTCGCGGCGCACGGAGCACTTTCGTGGTATTGGGCCAAGAAGTTAGAGAATCTGTACAGTAGGCAAAATACTAAACTGGCCTTAATTACTATTCTTAATTAACACGTGCGGGAAATAATTTTAACGGGAGGAACCGGTGGTTTCATCCAAGCACCGTAACAAAAGCTCTTATATCATTATATATGTAGTGAGAACAAGCTCACAGCTTCCAAACTAGATGTACCTCGTTTTGTTTTAACCGGAGCAGTTTCCCATGATATCTATAAAAAAGAGTAGCGATATACCTGTCCAAACGGCTACACATAATAAGAGGTAGGAGGCCTGTCTCACTAAGGACTGATCTCATTGGGCTGCTTTGCATTCGCCCGCCCCGCCGCTCCCCATTCACCAATGCAGCGATCCTCTCACTCGATTTGTTCACACATTGTTTTTTATTTTTAATCCTTTTTAATAAATATTTTAATAATTACGGCATCTAAAAAAGAATAAGCAAATCTGACTTTTTTTATCACGGTTGGCGTGACATTACCACGCTGTCGCGCCACATGCAGTAGCGCGACAAGGAGAACCACGCTGGCGTAGCACGTGATGGGGCCCACCCTATCGCGCCACCGACTCGGGTGCGATAGTGCTATCGCGTCAGGCGGGCTAGCGCGGCAGTTCCAAAATGGCACGGCCCCAACCCATTTCTCTGTTATCTCTCCCTCTTTCCTATGAGCTCGTGAACGGGTTTTGGAGGACACTTCTCTCTTCTCTTCCTCACATTCTCTTTGTCTATGTGATCAAGTTTGGATTTTGATTTTGGTTTTGGTTTGCAACGGTCTCGTGTAGGAGGTATGACTCCCTCACCCTTTGATGTTTATCTGTTGAGTTGATGTTTGTACACTGCTATGGTTTACACTGTTGTGTCCAAGACTGGCTTTTGTTTGGTTAACTGAAAGTTTGTTTGGCTAATGGTGTGAATATATTCCGATTGCATGTGTACTTGTTAGATTGTTCTAGTGTTTGGACTGGTGTGTCAGGTTTGCACTATTCTAGGGTTTGACTTGCTACTGGGTTAGACTGTTGCAGTGTTTGCACATGTGTCTGAATTGGACTGTTGTAACTAAGGTTAGTTTTAATTGAAGTTATTTTGTAGTGATTAGATGCATGGTTTTCCTGTGTATCTATAGAGATGATTTGCAGGGATTAAGTATGTTTCTAGTATTTGGCTTGATGGGTTTGCACGATTATATAGATGATTTGTAGGAAGATATGTACCTTGGACGCTGTTGTAGGGTACATGGAAATAAGTGAACTACTTTGTAATAGTATTCCTTTGATAATTTTGATGGCAGGTTCAATGGCGCTTCGACATAATAAGCAGTTCTTGCATTATCTGAAAGATCATTGAGCCTTCGGTCCTTTCCTACCAGCACTACCTACACCCTTATGTGACTGTGGCATACCGGCCTTTGTGAAGCAGTCAAATCCTCCGGAGTCAGCTGGCCATGCATTCTACACATGTCAACTTAAGCGTGCCCCCAAACTTGATGCCTATCTAGAGGGATGCAACTTCTTTAGGTGGATCGATGGCCATGAAATGTGTCGGTACAGAAAGTGACCAACACGTAAATATTTGTAGTTTTACCGTATGTTGTGATCGGAGGTGGCCTAGCACTCAATGACACAGGGTTTATACTAGTTCAGGCAACGTGCCCTACGTCCAGTTTGAGTCGGTCGGTGACTTTATTCCTGAGCCTAGGTGCTCGAAGTTTGCAGTGAGGTTACAAAATGAGAAGGAGAAAGATGGGGGGTACAAGAGGTCCGGTCGAACTCCGGTCGGAAGGGCCAAGAGTGACGGGAGCCCCGCTATGAGCTAAGTGTTCGAGCGTGTGCCTGTGATTTGAACCTGGTGGTTCTATTGTTGTGTACTAGAAAACTTGATCAATCTAAAATGAACCTATCTGTTGGAAGAGAGCGCATCCCCTTTTATAGATGAAGGGGATGGCCTTACAAGTGAGGGAGGGAGTACGTTCGCTGCTAAGTCTTGCTGCCCACGCTGGCGGGTACAAGATGATGGTAGGCGTCCACAATACTGTTGAATGTCAGATGCACGTGGGAGGTTGCGTCGTTTTCTTCAGGTATGGCAGATGTCGGTACCTGCCATACTATTGATGCCGAGAGGCATGCAAGGGGTTTTACCATGTTCGCCTGGCACGGTAAATGCCGACGCCCACAACATTGTTGATGCCTCAGAGGCACGTGGGGGGAGCCTTACCGCGTTTGTCTAGTATGGGAGTTGATGGCGCCCACAACACTGTAGGGGAAAATATCGGCGCCTACAATACTGCTTGGGCTCTATCATGTCAGGGAGGTCACAGAGTACTATCCTGCAGGTGTACATGGTACGGTCCTTGGTATTGCGGTTGACTTGAGTGCGCTGCCTTACTTTCTCCGTCTGTTTCCTGGTCCTTACCGAGCGGGCGTCCCCGGTCGGTTGGTCCCAGTCGGCTCTGATTCCGCCAGTCGGAGAGGAGCCACAGGCAGGGGTCCGACGCATTCCCGGTCGGAGAAGCGGGCCGGAGTCAGAAGTGGTGTTTTGGCCAGGCCTTCCGGAGGCGGGCTGGAGACCGAGGCGAGCGCTCAATCGGAGAGGTGGGCTGGAGTCGGAAGCGGGCGCTGTTTCTCCTCGGCCAGGCCTTCCGATCAAAGAGATTGGATCGTCCTTCTGGCCTGTCCTCTAGGTATTTGGGCTGGCCCATGAGTAGCGCGTTGCTTGCAACGTTGTCTGTTGGGCCGAGCCTTTGTTGGAAAGCCGGTCCACGAGGGACCCTAGGTTTATGAACCCAATAGGAGCCCCCGAGCCCCTGGGCGATTCGGGTAGAATCGTCTGGGGGATTTTTGTCTTAACGGCGGGTTTAGCCACCGAGCCTCCGGGCGATTCGGGTAGAATCGCCTAGGGTTTTTTCGTGTTGCCTGCGGGGGAAGTTTTTGTTTTGTCAGCGGGTGCGCGCGAGCACACCCGCGGGTGTAGCTCCCGAGCCCCCGGGCGATTCGGGCAGAATCGTTTGGGGGGGTTTCGTTAGCGGGCGTGTGCGTGTGTATTTTAGTCGAGACAGAGTCGGTGGTTAGTTTTGGGATCGGGCGAGGTGGAGCTCGTGGATCCCGGCGTCGGTGCGCGCCGTGGGATCGGGCGAGTTGGAGTCACGGATCCTGGCGTCGGTGCAGCCCGCGCAGCTGAGGTAGTTAGTTTAGGGATCGAACGAGACGAAGCTCGCGGGTCCTGGTGTCGGTGCGCGCCGTGGGATCGGACGAGGCGGAGCTTGCGGATCCTGGCCTCGATGCAGCCCGCGCAGCCGAGGCAGTTAGTTTTAGGGATCGAGCGAGACAGAGCTCGTGGATCCTGGCCTCGGTGAAGCCCACTCAGCCGAGGTAGTTAGTTTTAGGGATCAGGCGAGGTGGAGCTCGTTGATCCTGGCCTCGGTGCAGCCCGCGCAGTCGAGGCAGTTAGTTTAGGGATCTTGAGCCCCCGAGCTTCTATTGGGCTTGGTAGGGGTCGGTTTGAGTTTTATGCGTTACCCCATCCTCGGTTTCTCACAACCGGAGGGGCTGAGCTTTGTCGCTTGCCTCGATCGCTCAGGCTCGAGTGACGCGCTCGGTGAGCTCACTAACAGGTATGATCGAGTGGAATCCGGGTCCATCGTTCATGACGGGGTCGGCATAGCCCTCTTGTGACATTCCACTGCTCCTTTACCTGCAACCCGGTAGATGCATGGGTCGTTCCGGAGACTGACCCGGGTGGCCTGCTGGCCTCCCCTTGATGGAGATTCTGTGGGTTTGGTGAGAGGTTTAGGA